GAGAATATCAATTGATTTATCAACTCGCAGAGGCACATCTATACTAGGAAAAAAGTTTTTCATATTTGGGACCATGCATTGTCTTTTCTTTGACGAAGTGTCCATTGTTGTCTTTAACAATTCGTTTTCCATTTGATGTGGATAATGTGGATGATGAAAGTGAGGCAGACGATGCGAATGATGATGATGCGGATGACGAAAGTGATGTATATGATGCGGATAATGAAAGTGATGTATCTATATTATGGCTAGTTGTATCTTTCAAAACTGTACAAACTTTGCCATTAGCCTTCATAAAAAGAAAAATTGATATGAGAAACCATTTCTCAGAAGTTAAGTAAAAAGTAGAATCGAAATGGCTAGGTGCGGAAGATTGCCAACATTCCAGCTTAAAAGCTTAATATTTCTTTACAAGGTACCAATCAATTTTTTTTCCAAAATTAATAAACCTTTACTAAAGAAATTCCCGTTAACAGATCCTGATCGCCTACTTGAAAAAATCTAGCGCGAATGTGCACCTAGTTCGGCTACATGCGGAGGTGCAGAGCCTACCCTTACCAAGGCGCAGTCAATAAGGGGTGTAAGAGCCTGGGCGAAGCCATAGCTATTACGGAGATGCAGAGCCCACCCTTATCAAGACGCAGTCAATAAGGGGTGCATGAGCCTGGAAAAAAGCCACCATTTTTCCTATACAATAGACCAACTTTACCTTCTTTTGGAGAAGCATTTTTGCTCGAGTATGAACTTCCTGCGAAGCTTTTGGTTCATTACTTATATCTTACAACATTTTGTAAAATATACGATGGATATTTGCTTCGTCAGTATAATTATTACCACCAACGACATAAGCAATAAAATTCTCGAGAGACCAGGCTTTATAAAAAATAATCTGGCATAAAAATCGGTAGATTTAGGTAAAGAAACCATAACATGGATATATTTTCTGCAGGAATCTTGGACCAATAATTTTCTATAGTTCGCGATGGAAGAAGCTCGTCATTATTGTGCAATAAGAAGTTTGATAGTTCACCAAAAT